CGAGGGCTTCCCAGGTGGCCCAGTGGTCAAGAATCCTCCTGCCAATGCAGGAGATTCGGGGTTTGATCCCTGAGTCGGGCAGATCCCCAGGAGGAGGCATGGCAACCCACTCCAGTATTCTTGCCTGGAGAATTCCACGGACAGAGGAGCCTGACGGGCTACAGTTTATGGGGTCACAAAGAGTCAGACACGACTGAGTGACTGAGTACAAACACAAGGCATTAAACACTTGAAGTATCACATTGGCTTCGTCTCTCCTCCTGATAGAGGCCTTAAAAAGACACGAAAGCTTTATGACACCATTAAAGAAATGGTTTGTGGGGCAGGGAGATTGCAGAAATTGCAGCCGGACTATCAACTCCAATAGCACGCGCTCTTTGGTCTGAATGGTTGGCCACTTGGATGCTCAGGGTGTGGCATGTACATGGCAATTAGTTTCTTTTTCAGAATTGCTTAGGTAAGAGTACTTCATTGCTCTCCCTTTGTAAATACACATCCATTTGCAGTTAAAAAAAGAGACTGTCACAACACGGAAGCATTTGTAAAACTGATGCTGTATGGGCTTCCCTGGTAGCTCAGACAGTAAAGAATCTGCCTGCATTCCGGAGACCTGAGTTCAATCTCTGGGTCAGGAGGATCCCCTGGAGTAGAAAAATTAACCAGCTTTTGCATGGGAGCTTATGAAAGACCTAGACTCTTTCATAAACCACATGATTTTCTAGGTAATTATTAAACATTGAGTGACATTCTTATTGAAAGCAAGGTAATTAGCAATTGGAAAGACCGCAGGAGGGCAATTTGGGTGCTTGTTTTATTTTAAAAGAAACAACTCAGGTCTCTAGTTGACTTTGCCAGCAGTGGGAGGCTGCGGTGGGATCCAGCCAGCCAGCAGAGAGATGCATGTGTCTTCAGGGGAAAATTACTGTCAGGCAGTAGTCCCTAGCAGATCAATGATAATAGCATTGATTCGGACCCTAGACTCCATTTGTGTGCCTTCATCTGATCACTTATGAGAGAAATTGTCTGCCTGGACCCAGAATGCCTTTCAGTCTTCTTTAAAAGACAGAGGAAGAAGAGTCCAGGGAAAATAAGCTGCTTGGGAACTGATGATGTTTTTAATGGGAAAAGAATGCTATATTCTAGGTGCAGAATCAGCTGCATCACTTTTAAAATAACTTGCTAGAGAGCATTAACAATCCAGGCTGTGTTATTCACAGGAAATATAAGCTCAAAAAATCATAGAGTAGCTTTGGTGTGTTTGTTGTTGTTACTGTCGTGTTGTTAGGCTCTGGCTCTGGGTTTGGTGGTGTGGGGGTGTGAGTTCAAATGTAGTCTCTATAGGTAATCTCCCTGATGGATCAGCTGGTAAAGAATCCACCTGCAATGCTGGAGACACAGGTTCGATCCCTGGGTTGGGAAGGAGGAATAAGTTTCCTCCCTGTAGGAGGAAATGGCAGCCCACTCCAATATTTTTACCTGGAGAATCCCATGGACAGAGGAGCCTGGCAGATTACAGTCCATGGGGTCGCAGAGTCACGCAAAGAGACACGACTGAAGTGACTTGCAGCAGCAGCTAGCTTACACATTTCACTCCGTAAGCAGGCATTCTTGCTTCCTAGGGATTTCCCATTCTGCCTGAGACCAAACTAAAACTGACTTCTGAAGAGTGGCTGGATGCCTTTAGCAGAAGCAGAAAAAACATCAACATGGGTGATGAGTATCTATATGTGCTTGCATACTAAGTCACTTCAGCTGTGTCTGACTCTTTGTGACCCCATGGACTGTAGCTCTCCAGGCTCCTCTGTCTGTGGGATTCTCCAGGCAAGAATACTGGAGTGGGTTGCCATGTCCTCCTCCAGGGGATCTTCCTGACCCAGGGACAGAGCCCATGTCTCATGACTCCTGCACTGGGACATGGGGAATTTTTACCACTAGCGCAAATTGGGAAGCCCCAAGTACCTATATGCCCATCAGGAAATTGAGAAAGAGGGTAAAATTACAATCAATGTTCCTCATTTCCTAAGCATGTCATTAAGATGCTTACTGGTAAGATATGTGAATATCTACAGGCCATAATATTTTTCCTGGTGGAAGGCTGTGAACAATGATAAAGTCCACAATGGAAAAGAAAAAACTAAAACCCCTTCTCTAGTTGCTATTAGATTCTAAGAAATGGGCTCACCAAACTGTATGAAATGAGTTTCTTACCTGCCTTGTCACCATCAAATCCTGATTAAGTGAAAATTCTTAACTCCTGAGGCCTACTTAAGTTCAGTAATATAAACAAATATTATTACAACTTAATATGTGTTAGAAGGGCCATGAATAACTTATTTTAATACAACAAAGAACGTTTATGCTTTGCACACAGACACTCAACAAACACACACACACGTCACATACTCAGCTTACACTGCCATACACGCACACACACAAAACTGCAATCTGTTTTTTGCATTCTCCCTTGGTGCAGTTCATCTTGCAGGGCTCTATTTTCTGTGAAGTTTCTAAATATTTCATGTTATTAATAAAACTAATGCCACTTGGATTAGAGGGTATTATTGTTGTTTAGTTTCTCAGTCGTGTCCAACTGTTTGCCACCCCATGGACTACAGCATACCAGGCTTTCCTGTCCTTCACCATCTCCGGGAGCTTGCTCAAACTCATGTCCATTGAGTCAGTGATGCCATCCAACCATCTCATCCTCTGTCATCCCCTTCTCCTCCTGCCTTCTATCTATCCCAGCATCAGGGTCTTTTCCAATGAGTTGGCTCTTACTCTACAGACATTGCTCACTGAAAGCTCTACAGTTAGAAATAAGAGGTTTTATTGCGTCCATTGAAATTCCTTCAAGATACCTAAGCCTCTCTCATCACTAACTCTGAGCCATTCAGTCTTGACTTTTATAGTGGGAAGTAGTGAGCCTCAGTGCTGAAAGCTTAAAAAGCACTTCTGCCTGGGGCCAGGCTCTGGAGAGACCATAGAGAGGGAGGAAGTAGCTATTTGTGCTTTATTCCCTTTAAATAAGGTAGACAGTAGTGAGCAGAACCTAGAGAGGCACTGTGGACCAGCCTTGTGTCCTATGAGAGAAAGGCTGAAAAGCACCCAAACTCTCAGGCAAAGTCTGAGAGTTTATTGGAAGTCTATTGGAAATGGAAGAGGAAAATGAAATAAAATGAGTCACCTAAACATTCTCTAACAAGGAAGTAATAATCACAGTAAATGCTGAAAAGCTCTACAGGTAAAATAAATTGGAATAAACCTAAAGATGGGATGAGAAGCTAGTAAAGAAAGCAAGTGGAAATGAACAGGAAGTACTTTACCAGCTGCTCAAATTAAGCTCTGTGGATTCAAGTATGATGTAGCGTGTGGTTGTCTAAGTCTTAACCACCAAGGTTTCAGTTACTCTGCATGCCTAACGGTACTTTCTGAGTAATTTTTATTGAGTAGATTCAGATGCATTGTCAAAGAAACAAGAATCTCTTGTCTTCTGATTTCTTCGATTCGGTGAGAATGTCATTTGCTATTTGTACAGCCTGTTCAGATGTACTAAAAACATAAGCATTTTAGAGGTGACCTCAGAGCTTGTTGCTTTAGTTTATTGCCTTTGTTTTCTGTGTTTATCAATTTGATTACTCTCCACCAATGTTCATTTTCCAAATTTGTCTCTTTGGTTCTGCCCTCCCTCCCCACAGCCACCATTCTCTCTCTCACCTTTATTTCACTGACAACTTTTCCAGGATGTGACCTATAAGTCAAAAATGTCTATTTCCTCTCATTCATTTCTTGGCTCCACTGCAACCTGCATCCCACCTCACTGTTCAGCAGAAACGGAACTCAAAGGTCAAATATTGTCCTCACCTACACCTTCTTCTCAGTGCATTCTTGATGTTAACCTTGTCTTCAAAAGATAGGTGCAAAATCAAATTGTGATCCAGAATAAGACCATGTAAGAGACAGATTCCTAAAGATACCTCTCCGCACTCCCTACAAGACTCTGGTGGTTCAGTGAAACACTCATCTTAGTACTGGTGTGAAGGGACTTTGTGTCACTTATCAGCTGACCTTAAAAGAGAGAAATTATTCTGAATTGTCTGAGTCCAACCAATTTAATCATATGGGGCCTTAAAGAGCTAAGGCCAACTAGAGTAGAAAGATGCCTAGGAGAGATGTGTAGGACAGAAAAGAAAAAATCAGATTGAGAGCGTGAGAAGGATTCAACTCATTATTGCTGGCTTAGCAAGGGACAGTGAGCCAGAGAATGCAGGCAGCTGCTGGAAGCCGATAATTACTCCTGGCTGACAGACAGCAGGAAACTAAGACCTCAGTCCTATACCTGTAAGGAATTGAATTCTGCCAACAAACTGAATGAACCTAGTACCAGGTTTTCCTCTGGAGCCTCCAGAAAGGGACATCACCCTGCTGACACTTGGATTTCAGCCTTGTGGAGCTCTTTGTAGAGAATCAGTTGAGCTGTATTATACCCAGATATCTGTCATACCCACAAAAACTATGAGGTCGTAAGTGAGTGTTGACTTCAGTTAATAAATGTGTGGTAATCTGTTACAGCAGCAATGGAAAACTAATATAGACTACTAGAACTTTTTCTCAAATTTTTGATATTTTAGTATTCAAATTTCTATTTCTTCCAAAACATGGTTAATATTTACCATCTTAATTATATTCCAAATATATTATCTATTGAAATTGCAAACTTAGTTTATCTGGACACCATGGGGCCAGACTTTGAATACACATATAAGAATTTATGCATCTGCGTATTTTGTTCTATACATGCATGTGCATATATAGGGGTGTCTATACATAAATACATACCTAGGTTGTTGTTCAGTCACTAAGTCATGTCTGACTCTGTGACCCCATGGACTGCAGCGTGCCAGGCTTCCCTGTCTTTCACCATCTCCCTGAGTTTGCTCAAACTCGGGTCCATGGAGTCGGTGATGCCATCCAACCATCTCATCCTCCTTCTCCTGCCCTCAATCTTTCCCAGCATCAGGGTCTTTCCCAAAACCTAGGTAGACCTGGTAAATATCAATCACAGTCAATAAATAATAGTTTAAATATACACATATATAGGAATCTTAGCAATTATATATACACATATGTGTATTTTTCCACAATGTTAAGTAAATAATAACATTATTTTGTGACAATCTTGTAAGCTGTATATTAATTGCTTCGTTATATATGTTAAAAATAGGAAGACAGAGGTCACGTAGCTAGATAGAGGTCATCTAGTAAGTGGCAGAAGAGAATTCAAATATAGATCGGTCTGGATCTAAGACTGCAAGGTCCTTAGTTTTCATCTTGCTTATCTCTCATGCTGGATCAGGTCCTACACCCATCTCTGCCCAGATGCCTTGTGTCAGCCTCTTTCAACTTCCTTCTACAGGACGTCTGGATGCCACACGACACTGCTAGTTTTCCCTCTGTAGCTCTATGCCTTCTCAGTTTCCTAAGTTGCCTTCTATTTATCATATATAAAAGAATCTCGATTGTGTTCTCAATTTTATGCTACTCTCTTCTCCAAAAATTCAGTTTACTTTTAAACTCTCAATTGTAACTCTTTCAATTACTTTCAGCTTAATATCTCCAGTCCTGACTCTTCCCTGAGTTCCAGGCATGTGTATTAATATAACCATGGTGCTGAAAATGCCTGTATTTAGATCTTCTTGACATTTCTAAATCAGCATTGGTAGAAAAAGAAGTCTTCTCTTCTTGCCAGCCTTCATCCCTCAGTCATATTATCCATCACTTTGGTGGCCAAACTCAGAAGGCTCTTAGCCCCTTTGGACCTCTCCTCTGGCTAAGGGCATGAGTTCTGGACTGGACCCATCTGTGTTACTTGCTTGGGACCTTGGACCAATTGCTAAGCTTCTCAGGACCCAAGTATCTTCCTCTGTAAAACCAAGTGGTGATAGAAGTCATAGTAATACCTCACAACGTTGTTGCATGGTTTAAATAAGACACTATATTTAGATCAGCACCCAGCACCTAGTCCTTGCTTGATAAATTTCAGCTCTCATTCATTTTCCATTTAATTGCCAGATCTTCATTCTGCCCGAAATGCCAGAGACCTGGGTTCGATCCCTCAGTTGGGAAGATCCCCTGGAGAAGGAAAAGGCTACCCACTCCAGTATTCTGGCCTGGAGAATTCCATGGACTGTACAGCCCATGGGGTTGCAAAGAGTCGGACACAACTGAGTGACTTCCACTTTCACCTTTTCGTCTGTGAAGACTATGGTTAAGTTTCTGATGCCAACTTTTCTGCCCACCAGCACTCCATGTTAATATCTGAATCAATGCAGACTACCTCTGAATCATATTCCCCAAAATCTAGCCTACATGTAATTATAAAATGAATCTTCCAAAGGCACTATTTTAATTATCATTCAAAAATCTTTCAGTGGTTTTCTGTAACTTTCATGATACAATGGAAACTTTCATTATCTTGGCTTTCAAAGCCTTCCCTGAATTGGCCCCGACTTCTTTTTTTTTCTGACTTCTGTTTTAAATTGTTTCTACCTTTCCTCTCCCACTCAACCTTTGACTGGACCTCCTCTATATTCTTAAATATTATTTATTGTCCTGCCTTTTAGCTTTTGTGATAACTAATAATTATGGCAAATCTGTGCCAGGTAATGTATTGAAACTTTCAAGGGTGTCATCTCATTTGTCCTCACAAAAACACTATGGGTTATCTACTGTACTATTCCTATTTTACAGATGAGAAAACTGAGGCCCAGAGAGGATGATATCAGCTGAAGGATATACAGTTAGGAAGTGGTGGTGGACTCTGGAGTTGAATCTAAGCTGATTCCAGATTCCTGGTTTTAACCACTGTATCTTATGACTTCTCTATGCTTCATTCCCCTTTCCTAGAGTGTTCTTTACTCTTCCCCTATCTATTTGACTCCCACATATTCAAAGTCTCCCTTATGTTCTGTCCTTACTATAAAACTTTCCCAGTCTCCTTTAAAAACTCTAGTGAACTCCTCTATCTACAAGCTTCTTGAGGCTAAGAAGGATGTTACATGTTTCTTATGAAGCCCAGCAATACCTTGAGCATAGTAATTAATTAATTCTGATCATTAATTGGTACAAAATTTCTTTACTAGTGAAACTTGACGGTGATTCCTTGTGGTGGAGCCAGCTGATTGATTTCTCTTTATTACCCATTTTTTCCCAGTGACCGAGTTATGTTCTTTGATTGCCAACACATGTCTGAACTTAAGCAGAATAGGAAATTTTTTGAATGGGATCATGGAATGCTGAAACAGCAGACTTGGTCTGAAATCAAGGATGGCGCAGCCCAGCAGAGGTCCCCGACAGGACCAGCGCATGGAACACTGAAGTCCGTGCTGTTGGATTTCCCCTCCTTCGCAGTCACCGCAGGTTGTGTCTGTCTGGCCTCCCCCCATGATGCCCAGCTATGCCTTTTTTTTTTGCCTGTGTTCAAGGGAGCTGCAATCAACAGCTTAGCAAGGAGAGAAATGAGTCATTCTCATATTGCGGAAGTTGGGGAGTGGGAGGGACTCCAGGATAAAGAACTGTGGCGCCTAAAGGGGAATAGAGGAGAGACGAGATGCAACTACTAGAAAGAGAGGAAGTCACTTATGAGTTGCTCAAGATTACCAAATGCTTTGTTATGAGACAACATTCCCATCTTCTAAAATTAGAAGTTGGGGATTTAGGGTAACATGAACAAATAAGAGGGTCCCCCAGATGGACTGCAGAGATTTGTGACCCCTGGCCACACACACACAGTTCCTGAGTGCTTACATTTCCTCAGTGAGTGAGTCCAGTTCCTGTTAGATTCTCAAATAGGTTCATGATCCAAAAGGGTTGTGAAATACTACTTGCAGCTATTGAACTAGAAACATAATCTTACCTCAGAACATCAGGAGACTCAAAGGCAGAGTCTCATAATATCATGTAAGGAAAAAGTTAAATTTGAAAATTCTGAATATACTATAATGTACCTGCTCATCTAACAGATGCCAAAGAGTTACTCAGAAGGTCAACTCTCTTTAGAATGAAAGACCTAAAGTGGAATTTCTATCTATTCCTTGACCATGCGTCAAAAGGGCTTCTGCTCTGTAGAATCCTTGGATGCCTTCTTAACCAATTGCAGAATAACAATACAGCTTACCTCCTGAGTTGTTATTTTTATAGCATCTTGCTGTTTTTTTCATAGTTTTTGAAAGATCCTTCCTCAGTCTCCATATTTCGGCAGGGAACGAGCAGTATCTCTTTATACCTGTCTCTCCAAATCTCTGCATGACAGGGTAGAGGTTCATGAGTAGCTAGAGTCTGTCAGAAGAAGGCTTCTTACAGATTAAATAGTTAATAATGAAAGAGTTAGTTTCTCAGTTGTATCCAACTCTTTGCAACCCCATGGACTGTAGCCCACCCAGATCCTCTGTCCATGGAATTCTCTAGGCAAGAACACTGGAGTGGGTTGCCATTCCATTCTCCAGGGGATCTTCCCAACCCAGGGACTGAACCTGGGTCTCCTGCATTGCAGGCAGATTCTTCACCATCTGAGCCACCAGGGAAGTCCTATGAGGCTTATCGAACAAGCAAGTGGCATCTATTTAGTGCCATGTCTTTTTGCTGTTTGTCTGCTTGTTTTTTAGGTTTTTTTTCTTTTACAATTGTGTATGTATTTTTAAATATTTGTTTATTTTTTGCTGTGTCAGGTGTTAGTTGCAGCATGCTGGCTCAGTAGTTGTGGTGTGCGGACTTAGTTATGCCAAGGCATGTGGGATCTTAGTTCCCCGACCAGGGATGGAACCCATGCCCCTTGCATTGGAAGGAGGATTGTTAACCCCTGGAGCACCAGGAAAGTCTTGTCTTTGGAACGAGCTGGTTACGTGGGAGCTACCTTGAGGGTCACCACCTTCATTACAGAATCAGAACTGTGTTTGCAGAAGTGGCTTCTCAGGGCGAGATGAGTGCCTTATCCATCGTCTTAATGACCTGACTTTCCCCACCACCACCCCCACCCCCACCACCAAAACATGGCACGGGAGGAGCATCTAGTGTTTAGGGGAGAAAGCCGAGGTTTTAGAAGAATGGCAGAGAAGGCTTTCTGAGGAAGCGACATTTGAGTAAAGACCTGAAGGAAGTTGAGGAAAAGCCACATGGATACGTGGGACCACTGACTTCTGGGTGGCAAGTTGGTGTCACCGTGGCAGCCAGCCTGGGCCTGCATCATTAAGTGTGTTGAGTTCTAGAAAGCGAAGAGAAGGCTCTGGAGCAAAAGCTCCCACAAAACCCACAACTCATCGTGCTAACTCATTGGTCCTCTCCTCTTGTCATTGTCCCATTTCCACCTGTATCCTCGGTTCTGCTCCAGCTAAGACGTGAACACCAATAGCAGCCTTGTTATTTTTCTTTCTTACAGTTCAAAACTCACAGAACATTGAGAGCATTTTGCACAGAAATTGCCCTTCTGGTTGGACTTCTTGTGTGTGTCTGCAGTGCTCACCACACTGCTTTCTGTGCAAAGATGCCCCCAACAACTGTCTGTGAAACGGACTTCCTGACCTAAGAGGGGACAGTTAGTTACTCCATAATGCCCCCTACTCAGAATTTGTCTCCTGGGAGAGTTGGTTCAAACTTGTGTCTCAGTGGTCATGAAGATCAGTCCTCAATGGAAATATTCCTTCAACTATCTTTTAAACCCCAGATTGCTTCCCAGACAAGCAAGGGTTCCGTTAGCACCTACCAAAGTGATGAACACCCTCCTTAATAGAAGGTCTGTCCTGTAGATGAAGAAACAAACTTTTTAAGCATTTGAATGACTGTCTCACACAACACTTATTTTTTTAACTCATCTTTCTAATGTTTAATCTAATCAATTATTCACTAGTCCCATGGTCTCCAACTACTTATCTCACACACTTCATAAAAAAAGTTGAATGCGTTCCTATATTCTATGTTTATTTATAAACTATACAGTCCTTGCCAATAGCTAATATTTCAAAACACAGTATACATAGGGGACCAGTTCATTTTTAAGCATAAGGTATACAAGTCCCTCCGTTCTTTTATTAAACAGTTATATACTGAGGATCTTCTGAAGCAGACACAGTTCTGATCACTACACAGTGAACAAAGCAAACAAAATTCCCACACTCCTGTGGCATAGAATCTAGTGGAGGATGAAAGATCATAAGTAAAATAAATAAGTAAACTGTACAGCAGTGTCACATGACAGTAAGTGCCATGGACAAAATAAAATAGGAAGGAGCACTAGAGCGGGTTTTAGGGGGGAAGTGCAATTTTAAATTGCGTCAGAGAAAGGGAGTAAAGATCTAAAGATTAGGGAATTAACTGGTTGACTGTTTGTAACCATATGACATAGAGAATGAAGGTGTCCATGTCAATGCATTATATAAATATTAGTAAAGCATAGTTTCTTTATTTAGATGACTAATATAAATGGAATTCTAATATTTTCCCTTGTGCCTAAGTGGAAAGACCACTGATGTAATGAGGAACTGACTTAAACAGGTATATTATTGCAGTTCACTTTTGAGATCTAGCAGGTTGCTGTTTCCTTCTCCAAGGGATCTTCCCCACCCAGGGATCAAACCTGGGTCTCCTGCGTTGCAGGCAGATTCTTCACCATCTGAGCCACCAGAGAAACACCCAAAAAAGATTATTGCAGTTCACCTTTGGAATCTAGCCACAATGATGAAGTTTGGATGGCTGTAGCACTAACAGATATGGCAGTGTAGAGTAAATTAGCTCTTTGATTCAGGCTCAACTTGGTTCCGAGGGCAAGTTTAAGATCCTATGGTTTATTTATCTGTGAGCAATTCTCTTAAACATCGAGAGTCATTTTGTGCTTTTTTGTCTTGCTTTAAAGCAGGTGATTAGGGGGAACACATGCACAAAAGTGCATCTGAACAGCTGGTAGTTACTCACTCACAGGAAGCGGTAACTTGTTGGTTTTTTTTTCCTTTCTGTTGAGTTATGTTAATGTAGAATGAGCATTTCCCTTTTTACCAGAGAAGAAAAATTTGTTCGGCCTGGTGAAGCTTCAGGAGGGAGAGACTTAAGGGAATTGATATTTTTAAATATCTCGCCACTCAAATAACAGCAATACAATGAGCTTCCGAGGAAAGGTTTTTAAACGGGATCCCAGTGAATTTTGGAAGAAGAGACGAACAATGAGGAGAAAAAATCAAGAAGAAATCCACAGATTTACCTCTGTAGGTATCTGAATGTTGATGTTTGCTCTTCATCTTCTCTTCAATGCTTTAAAAAGAAAAAAAATAGTTCTGGCATGCTAATCTAACCTAGAGTGATGGGCAAAGTCTTAGATGGAACAGAATATTCAGCCCAGCTCATAAATATCCTTTTTTACTTACATCATTATTTTTTAATTGCTTCCATCATTATTTTAAAACATATTGGAAGAGGTTTGAAGTACTTAAAATACTACTAACTTATTTAGAATATTGGAACTACTACCATCATTATTTTAAAACATGTTGATAGAGGATTTAGAGAGTTAATATTGCTAGAATATTCTCCTTGTTTAAAGAAACGTCTATAATTGCCTCAATTAAGAACCCAATTGATGATGTGCTACAGTGGTGTTTTTTAAAAAGTATTACTGCTCTATTTTTATCATGTACTACTCATGATTTGTTTCAAAGTTCTTAGAAAGAGCAACCCAAAATAGGAAAGGAAATGTAAATAACTATTTAATTAAGTGAGCTGAGGGAGAGAGTAAAAATTGGTAAGTTCTAAAGGTTAAAAAGATTTGATTTTGTTTACTGTTAAAAATGTTTCTGCCTTAGGATTGGTAAACAAAATGAGAGCTCTGAAAATGTGTCCTTATTACAGCATTCTAGATTTCTATCTGTCAGTATCAGGGCAGATGGTTAGAGCTTCAGTGATTCATATGTAACGTGGAAGGCCCATTTTATATGATGAATGATTGGGTACTCTTTTTATAGGAATGTTTATTTTACCAGGTAGGTTTTTTTTTTTTTGCTTGTTTTTCTTCAAGGCAAGGGTTCTTGAGCTCAGCACTACTATCATTTTGGGTTGGAGATTTCTTAGTTGTTTGGAGCTGTCCTATGTGTTGTGACCACGGTTAGTGACAGCCTGGGCCTTTACCCAGTAGATGCTGGTGGCAAGCTCTCCCCTGTTGTGACAAGCAAGAATGTCTCCTTACATTGCCAAATGTCTCGAGCAGGGAGAGTGATGTCCAGGTTGAGAACCACTGCTCTAGAGATAAATAATGTTTTTGTTCATATAAACATTTTTTATCTAGAAACAGAGCAACTTAAAAAACTATATATATTTGATCATATAATGGTTGTTTATGAATAGCCATTGAAAGAATATGAAAAATCAAATTAATGAATAGCCACTCAGGCTTTGATAGACCAAAATCAAGTACGGAATACTCCATCTCACGTAGCAGTGGTTCTCTTTATACTTACAATCTGTCTGGTGATAATTTAATGGGAGTAGAGTTTACTTGGAGGTTTGGCTCATAGGGTTGATGCCTTGCTGATTCTATCTCAGGATCTTAGTAGTACAGGTCTCCCATTGGCAAACATGGGCAAATGACCCCTTTGACCTGTTCCCATGGGATGTGCCCAGGTCTTTCCATTCAGTGTTTCGTAAGGAGACTATGCTGAGTTCAGACTCTAACCTCTTGGTCCCCACTGACCCCAAAGGATTCTCAGTTGTGACATCTCCACTGGCCCCATAAAAGCCTCATTGGTTGTTTACCATTAGCCTGTTAAAGAGGATAAGTGTTTGGAAACTTATTTGCCTTGGGATTATGTTAACCTTCAGACCAATCCAAAAAATGTGGTTTCCTAGCTGCCTATCTCTCAGTGAAATTTAGAAGTCCTAAGGTTATGTCACCACAAGACTTACTTTTTCTTGTGTCCACTGAAAGAGATAACACACAGGAGAAGAATGTGTCTATCTTACAGAGACCACAAGAGAACAGGATTTGACATTAGGACAGTCCCAGATGTCTCCCATATAATGAAACTAATCACTCCATGAGTTATCTTAATTGAATTGGAAGGTATTGCTACTGAAAAGTATGGGGAAAGCAGCCAGTAAGGATGGTGTGTTTTCCCACAGCATTCAGTAGCTGTGCATTCACATTTAATTAAGATCATTCATATAGTGATTAGCTTTCTTCTGTGGAAGGCGCTGGGGACTCCCTGATGCTGTTGCCTGCTTTTGGTCCTCCTAAGATAGGCATATCTTCTTTCACAGCTTGTCTCGTCTATTGAGTAGGGGATTGTAGTATTATCCTGGGACTTGGCTTTCATTTTGGGAAAAAAAAAAGAGAGAGAGAGACTCCAAGAAAGTGAAGCATGTAATTAGAGAGCTAGGGGGTCATTCTAACTGTCACCCACCGTTCAGGTGACCTTGGGCAGTTTACTTAAATCATTCTGAGCCCTAGTCACCCCTTTCATAAAATGTTCCTAATGATACCTGCCCTGTCTTAAGAGATTTTTTATTGGAATTCATTTGGATCTTATGTATTCTGAACATGGTTTGAACACTGAAAAATTATGAGCTGCAAGTGTTGTGGGTTACTAATAAAACCAAGTAAAATATCAAGGGCCAGGGAAGGGGGGGATATAATTGCAGAGTGGGGATTGGTTTTTTTGTTTTTTTTTTTTTTTGGTTTTTTTTNGGGGATTGGTTTTTTTGTTTTTTTTTTTTTTTGGTTTTTTTTTTTTTTTTTTTTTTGGTTTTTTTTTTTCAGAAACTGAAACATTGAAGCCACTGGTCGTTGGTTACTCCTTCCTTCCAGGACCCTTTTTCAGTGACAAAGTCACTCAGTAGACAAAATTCTGAACTGCTGGTGTTGAGGGGGGCTCTGACATCATTCTATGTGTCAATGGGGGTTTCCTTTGAAATACCATTTCCCACCCCACCCTCACCATAGCCCAGCTTAGCTGAAACCCACCCAAAACCAGATTGGACTTTCCACAGCACACTCATCTGAGCTTTTTAAAAGTTAAACCAACATTTCTAGACCACCTTCTGAGATGACTTGATAGGTGGTAAGGAAGAAGCAATTCAAACGTCAGAGTGCCCAACAAATGAACATAAGGCTTACAGTTAGGTCAAAGAATAAAACGATTTCTTTTGAATTTTTAGATATACTCATATATTGTTATGAAAGGAGAAATAATGATCACTGGAAATAATTATCATAGATTGCAGTTTTATAATGATCATGTGTATTTTGAATTCCACAAATCATTTGGTTTCTTTTTTTGAAAGTCGCTCAGTTGTGTCCTACTCTTTGTGACCCCATGGACTAAGTCCATGGAATTCTCTAGGCCAGAATACTGGAGTGGGTAGCCTTTCCCTTCTCCAGCGGATCTGTCCAGCCCAGGAATCACAGTAGTCTAAAATACTCAACTGGAAGTCAATGACTTCCTCAGTGGTATACAACTCAAACTTTATATTCTTATGATCTAGGCTAACAGTTTTGTTTGTTTCTTTTTCTTCAAATGCTGTTTAAAGCTGTTTATTTAACTCTGTTGAAATTTTTAATTGTTTTGGAAGCTTCTCTTATCAATCCAGTTTTCAAGTATCTTGTCTAAGAAATCGCTTTCCATGTTTAAACCACTTATCATAGACAATATACAATATTGTATATTGTGCAATAGCATTATTAGAGAAGTTTGAAGAAAATGAAACTTACTTGTTAGATCATCAAGTAGAACTACTTCCCTTAATTTTTGAAGTCTGTTTGGTGTTCTGTAGTTGAAGTTTTTCTCTTTAACTGCCTTTCTATTTTTATTTTTCTTTTTTTATCCAATCACTCAGTATGATCTCTGGTGCATAGAATGAAAGTTAATAAAAAGGTAACTTCCTAAGTTGCATGTCCTAATTTGGAAAGATTAAGTGTACTATTAAGTTGAGTTATGATATCAATCATCTGTACTGCCAGAAAAATGTGAAATTCATTTAAGTAAATGTGAGTTATTATTTTTACTTTGTTACTGGCTTGTGGTTAATTAATCTGCAGGATTTCCAAGTATTTGGAAAATATGGGCTACAAATGACAATTTCTCCTCCTCTTTAGTCACTTAGCAGTCATGTAGCCTGTTAGCACTTTAATAGAAAATTGAAAATTGTAGAAAGCTACAAAGGATGTAATATGAATGACTTTAACGTATCTCCCACATATGTCATGTTATTACATTTTGTCCTATTGTCTTTCAAGTCTGCTTTTTATCTTTACTCTTCCATGTTAATGTGGACAGCTTCCCCCTGATCGTCTGTGTTGCCTTACTTACTGATACTTTTTTATACAAACATTCACTGTTACCTCTTGGGCCTATTTTATAATGAACCAGTTAGCTGAAAGGAAGCATGGGATGGAGACCCAGAAACCAAGAGGATGGTTCCAGGAAATGATGAAATGAGACTGAATCAGGGTTGAAATACAGCATAAAGCAGGGATGAATGCTATAAATGGACAAGGCAGGAGGAAGCCATGAAACAGGACTAAACGGGGGATCTGAATTCAGCCCAGACCATAGAAATGGAGAAGTGTAAGTTGAAACTGGATCTGAGGACTCTGCCTGTGGCGGCAGTGATGGGGAACAGCTAGCTCAGGTGCCGCAGAGATGCACAGAGGATGCTTTTAAAATGGGCTTAGGATCAGTACCTGCAATTGAACCAAAAATGCCCTTACTTTCCTCAAGCCTGAGTGCCAGGAGAGGGAGATGAGTGAAATCCAGAGACCAAGTAGAGAACTGCCAAACAGGGCAAAGCTTGACTTCATAACGATGCTATTTACAACTAGCTGATCAGGAAGTGGACCGTTTGTTGGGGCAGGGGGCAGGGGGGGGGGGTACAGTGGACAGGAAGTAATACCATGATTCCCCAAAACTCTTTAATTTCCCTAATGACAGCGGTACAAAACTTTCTTAAAACAGAGGTTCCCTCAGTTGGTGGCAGTTTCTGCTGTGATTTCTGACACAAATGTTACCTAGCATTCTCAGTGGAAACAACTCAGTTTACCGCCTTTCTTTCTCTTGTGTCTCTTTTACTGCTCACACAGAACACTGCATTTCTGACACCTCTAGTCACCGAATGTGTTGCGGTTTTCCCCCACACCAAGAAATTTTCTGCAACACTGATCTCAAGTGCCCTTGACCTTCTGCAGCTTGAAGCAGGATTTCAGTTCCCAGCCGGAGAC